AAATAAGTAATTTTAACTAGTGACACGGACCGTGTCCGTAGTGTCATTACTATGGACGTCATAACCCCTCGAATTCTCGAGTTTTGTTTTGTAGAAAACATGGAAACACCAAAGACGCTTTAATATTTTACGTGTTTTAATAGACAGGTGACGACTGCACAGAGTAGCATTATAACAGAACTTTCAAATGTATCCAGTATGATAAAACAATGCTGCTTTTTTTCCCCACATACGCACGACCGGAAGGAGCGGAAGCGGTCGACTGTTGCATAATAAAAGCTACGCTGCTTTCGAGCCGTGTTTCACGCTCGTTCAGCGGCCTCGTTTCGCTTCGACGGCTTTCAGCCTCACCCTGCTTCATTCTACTACGTTAATAAATCATTAGCTCATCCATGAACATGATTTCTGCCCGAGTCCCGTCAGATTGCATCAGCTGTGGGGATGAAGACGACAACTCCCATGATTCCACACTCAGTCACAGCGTCATCAAACTACACCTTTGTTTCTTTGTTTATTTTGAATACGCGCCCTCTAGCGGCGAAAATTACATATTGTGCCTTTAAATGCATCTATAACACATGAAAATAGGAAGATCATAAACATTAATATCATGTTTTTCTGTAAAGTTGCCTTGAAACAGTTGTGTATTTAGAATGAAAGTGAAAGTGACGTGTAGCCAAGTATGGTGTCCCATTCTCAGAATTTGTGCTCTGCATTTAACCCATCCAAGTGCACACAGCAGTGAGTAGTGAACACACACCTGGAGCAGTGGGCAGCCATTTTTGTTGCGGCACATTTTTGCTACACTCCCCCACCTACAATCCCTGCCGGTACCAAGACTCAAACCCACGTCCCTTGGGTTACAAGTCCAACTCTCTAACCATTAGGCCTAGAATTCATAGTATTGGAAAAGTGCCTGACACTAGACACTAGAGAGCATCATGGGAGAGGAGTTGTGAATGGCAGTGAAGCACCGCAACTGATTTTTTATGTGACAGTAAAAACATGACAAATGTAGTATATCCAAATTTCAATCATACTTTCCATATTCATACTATATATAACATACAGTACTTTTTAACAGTCATGAAGTTAAAAGTGATAGTTCACCAAAAAATTAAAATGACCCTACCCCTACTCACCCTCAAGCCAGGTGTATATGACTTTATTCTTTTCAGATGAATACTATCGGAGTTATATTAAAAAATGTCCTGGCTCTTCCAAGCTTTATAATGGCAGCGAGTTGAGATTTTTAGGTTCAATTATAAAAAGCGCTCCACATGGCTCCAAGGGGTTAATAAAGGCCTTCTGAAGCAAAGCGATGCGTTTTTGTAAGAAAAATATCCATATTTAAAACCGTAATCTCTATAGTTTCCGCTAACTATCATATGGGTGTTCAGGAGAGAGTGGCATTCCAGCGTATGACGTAGGCATAGCATAAGCTCCGGTGAGAAGTGACGAACGTGGAAGTGTAGAGGAGAGAGCAAAACAAAACACCGATCATGAAGTAGAAGTACAAAACGAGGATTTGTAAAGAAAAATGTCAGAGGATTTCAATATAAGCCAAGAGGAGACTGGTTTTCCTTTGCTGTAAACAAAACTTGGTTCTCGTGAGACTAGCATATTCTCACCAGAGCTTTAGCGCCTACATCCGACATCCTACATCATCCGCTGGAATGCCACTCTCTAGTGAACACGCGTGCAACAGTTAGCGTGAGTAAGCTATAGATTATGGTTTATAAAGTTTTAAATATGGATGTTTTACTTACACAAATGCATTGATTCACTTCAGAAGACCTTTATTAACCCCCCTGAGCCGTGTGGGGTACTTTTTATGATGGATGGACGCACTTTTTTGGGCTTCAAAATCTCAACCCCCATTTACTGCCATTATAAAGCTAGGAAATTTCTTAATATAACTCCGACTGTATTCGTCTGAAAGAAGAAAAAAGTTATATATAATGGCTTGAGGGTGAGTAAATCATAGGGTAATTTTAATTTTTGGGTGAACTTTCACTTTAAGTTTCAAACAAAATTAAGTACCTACTAAACAGTATGCGATTTTGTATATGCAGCCAATTTATATTGTAAAAAGCGCTATACAAATAAAAATGGACTTCTTGACTTGAAGAACCACACCAGCAATAACTACATTAGAACATGTTAGTAAAGCCAGACTGCTGTTAAGTAAGAAATACATTGAGTTTCTAAATGTTCTCAGGCTGATGGCCAGAGCCATACATTCTATACAAAATCTTTCCATATAAATGTATGTAAATTTGTTATTGGTATTGTTATTGATTTATATACCAATAGGGCCTGTCACATCATATTCATAATTACTAAAGTGAATCAAGCAGGAATATATGTGTGGTTTGTTTTTCCATCAGCATGGCAGCCAGCATGAATAATAAATAATAACCAACCACTAATGCAGCAAAATCTAATCCTAGAATGCTAGAATAGCATAATGATGAGCGGTCGCAAACACTGTCAGTGCCAAATTCTATAAAGTTTTTGAAAGTAAAAAAAAAAATCTATTGAATGTGATGGATGAATTGTGGATATGGATGTAAGATGATTAACTTGTTTTTAATGCTACAATAATTTAATAAATATTAAATATATTATATATATGAAATTATATATAAATATATAATGACCAGCCACACGATATTCAGAGTGAATTTAAGTAGTGCCATGGCAGTCTCAGTGAAAAGTTGTACTGGAAACACAGTAAAAATAGCAGAATATAGGTATAGACTTTGTATAGACAACTCTAAAAACTATGCAGTTCACAGAGTGCTTCAAACAAAGCTTTGATACATATAATCTTGCACTGCTTCTCAGTGCTCACCCCTGGCGATGGCCCTGACTGATATTGTATACAGTAACTGGTCCAGTATAGTATGAAAGCACCAAGCCCATAATTCAGAGTCTGCCCAAAATCTGGCTGTTTTGAGTGGGTTGCAGTGAAGAGGAGGTGAAAGAGATCAGAAATACTGAAGCTTTGTGATGGTTATGAAATGCTGCCTTGTGTAAACGGAGAAAAATAATCACGTGTGTGTCTGCATGTGTTATATATGTGTTATATCTGTATATTCTACTCCTTAGGTTTCTATGGGAGACCCTGGTCAATGGAACAAAGGAAGGTACTATTTCAGTGGTGAGTATGGGATCAGCGAATACACACACTGTTAAATGGGATGATGAGATTGCTCTTTATATGCATTTGTATTACTAAAGGGACACAAAATAATACATTTTATAGGTGTTACAGTATGTAATGTAGAATGGGATATTTTTTCGGATCATGTTGACAACATTGTGGTATCAGAGCAGTACAGTATGGCACAGTGCAGCTGGTGCCTTGCAGAAGTGTAAAGTTGTGTAGGCAGAGAGACAAATGGCTTTTTTATGACTAATGACTGGACACTACTGCCAGCATGACTCCACTGAGCCATACTTTAACACATCTTCATACATAAGCCATGGTGAAATCAGTGGCAAGGAACAAGTTCATTTTGAATAAGAGCATGGGAAAAGTTATATTATTATTATTATTAAATTATTATTATTTGACATATTATGTTCTTAAAGGAATAGTTCACCCTAAAATGACAATTTGCTGAAAATGTGCTCACCCTCAAGCCATCCAAGGAATAGATGAGTTTGTTTCTTTATTGCAAAAGATTTGGAGAAATTTACCATTACATAATTTGCACATCAATGAATGCAGTGAATGGGTGCCGTCAGAATGAGCAACAGCTGATAAAAGCATCACAATAATCCACAAGTAATCCACACAACTACAATCCATATTTGTAATAAACAAATCCATCATTAGGATGTTTTTAACTTTTTCTTTAAGTCATCACTTCTGAATCAGGAGAAAAATGTGCACAGATCAAGCACCATTTACTAGCAAAAACAGTCCGAAACAGTTCTAAACAAATATGTCAGTGGGTTTTGATGTGAGGGGACAATAGGGGATGGACTTTTTCACTGAAGGAAGTGTTATTATGGATTATGGCATTTTGGCAAAAAAGAAATGGTTTAAAGTTAAAATGCCTTAATAATGGATTTATTACAAACACACAGCTTTTCACTTCACAAGACATGAATTGATGGACTGGAGTCATGTGGATTATTTGTGGATTATTGCAGTAGCTCCTTACTGCAGAACAAAGATCCAGGGGGAGGGGTTGGATCCACATCTAGGGGGTGGAGATGGGTGGGGTTAGGGATCAGGGGTGGAGATGTATATGCAAGGTGGGAGGAGTTGGATCTGGATCCAACCTCGCCCCCTGGATCTTGTGTTCTGCAGTGAGGACCATCACCATTGTGATGTTTTATCTGCTGTTTGGACTCTCATTCTCACGGCACCCATTCACTGCAGACAATCCACTTGTCAGCGAGTAATGTAATGTTAAATTTCTCCAAATCTGTTTCAGTGAAGAAACAAACTCATCTACATCTTGGATGGCCTGAGGGTGAGTAAATATTTAGAGAATGTTCATTTTGAGGTGAACTTTTTGAGATATCCCTGCTGAAAACACCATCTTTCCATGGTTCAGGCTGATTTAGTGCTTGTCTAGCTGGTTTCCATTATGGTTTCCAACAGAACAAATAAACTTGAATTGAATCTGGTTAACCTAGGAGGTCTTCCTGGTTTATCTAGCTAAGATGCCTGGTGGTGAAACTAACACATCAGCATTTAAAACAAGTATTTGTTGCTGTCCTGTATTGAGTCCCTGCTCCCTTTCAGCCATAAAGTAGTTTTCCTCTCTCTGCTGCAGCACTAATGAACAAGCTCACACTTTACTCAGTGAGCTGGCATGAACTAGTAGATTTGATCTGCAAAACTGGAGTTCTCTTTCCTTTAAGCTTAGTACAGCTTCTTATTTTCTTAAACTTAAAAAATGTATTAATAATGAATAATTGCTTGTGATTGATTGATTCATTCTTTCCCATTTGTTATTCTTTGATAGAAAGTAAATATTTTATGTGCAATACAGCTAAATAATTCATCAACAAATTCATGTCTTTAAACATCTTCGTAAACACATTTTTTAAACACGACATATGGCATACTATTTAAGGTATTACTGATTTATTTATATATTTCAACCTGTTCTGACTGATGCCCTGGGTTGTGACGTCCAAATCAGTAGAATTTACATTAATGTACAATGGATCAGACATGACAGAAATTAGAGTGCGTGGGAATCCATCTGCACCGGAAGAAAGGAGAGAAGCGAGAGAGTATCCTACCCACCCACACACACAAGTGATAGAGGCACTGGACCAAACTCCAAAGCCCTGGATGAAAAGATTAATAGTGCAGGCGAAAGAAGGGGGATGAGAACTTTTACACTCTCTTGAGTGAGAGTGAAGCGACTGCTTCACGACTGATGCAGTAGATGAAGGGAGAGAAGGAGGAGAGAAAGGAAGTGGGGGAGGAAGAGGGAGAAAAAGAATGAACGATAGATTCTATCTGTGCATTAGCATTTTAAATAGGTTGGCGAGGGAGAGAACCAAAATGAGCTTTGTGTGTGTGAGTGAGTGAGTGTGTGCGCACGCTTGCTTGAGGTTAACCTTTAAGGAGGTTCTTTAATATTTTAGACAAGCACTAACTCAGTTTCAATCTATTTAGGGAGTCTGCTTTTCTCATGAGACACACAGACACACTCATTCTATTGTAGGCAAAGATGTAATATTTCATTTATAGTTAACTCAGTTTTTGTATGAGATCTTGATTAAGACGTTAATGTGGAAGAAACCCATCCTCTTAGTCACTCTGAAACAGTCATCTTACAGATCATAGTACTCTAGAGCAGTGTTTCCCAACCTTTTTTTAGTCGCGGCACCCTTTGGAAATTTTAACAAATTTGTGGCACCCTACAAAATTAATTTTGTCACAATATTTGAATTTCTAACTTCGATATGATAATTTGAAAAGTATAGATACTCGGTACAACAGATGCTCTTTTGAAAATGTTAGCAATTTAAAAATATTAAAAAACACCGGCACCCCGGTTGGGAAACACTGCTCTAGAGTACTTGTCTTGTTGAGTATTAGAAAATAATCTCTCCTATAACACTTTTAACACTAGTTTTCACACTAGTTTTCTTTTTTATTTGCTATTTTACACTGTGGAATTTACTCCACATTGATATGTTGGTTCCAATTATGATAACCTTTTTATGATAATATTTTTTAAGGGAAAATTGCAAAATGATTACTCCACTCCTTATGTAGATTGTTAAAATGTAATATTTTATTATAGATTTAGCCTTTTAAGATTTGGGTTTAAATAATTAAATAATATAGGGCATGGATAAAACAATCAAATCTTAAAGCCATTTAAAAAACAATCGCAGAAATAAAATATAAAAGCGTGGTAAGAAGTTCTCAAGACTCCCAAAAATGAGTTGGTTGAAAAATCATCCCATGGGACTTGAAAGTTCAAGTTAAAACTCTTTATTGGTAATAGTGCACATTTTGTGCAGTATTCATGATCTTTATTTAATATTTAAACAACAATTAAATATTGCACTGCCTGCAGTTTTTCTTTATAAATAAGTTGAAATTCACAGAGGGGCAGACCATTCACTTTTTTCCTCTGCAGAGGAATCGACCCTTTGCTGATGTTAAAGTCAGACTCATTCTCTGCAGGAAATGTGACCTCTTATATTATAATGATGCAAGATCAATGTATGTCTCTATTTTCTGCCTGCCTCTCTCTCTCTCTTTCTCCCTGCTGTGTCTTGTGCTCTTCTTTCAAAATATTCTCAAAACATGATAGAAAATCCATTTTAAAAATCCTGAAATGCAACTGATACTGATTGTCCCTTTCAGGATGCAGATGTGGAATTTGAACACATATCTGTATGGTCCTAAAGATGATCTGAAGCACAGGTTACTATGGAGGGAGGTTTATTCAGCAGAGGAAGAGGGTATGTGTTTTATACAGCACTGTATATGTCCCAATATTTATTCAGATTATAGTATATAGAAGCACGGTGTTAAAGTGTTTATTTAATCTGTCTATTTTAATTTCATTAACTTATCTATCTAAAGCTAAAGGTTTTCATTATTATTACTGGCCAAAAATATCCATATCTAGAAAACATAATCTGAGCAATCAGAATATAAATGCTTGGCCTTGGTCATCTTAGCAGAGATTGTTAAGATGTATTTCTAAGAATATACTGTAATTTCTAAATGGCACCTAATCATATTATTATACAAACATGATTGTATTAAATTAGGTGCCATTATATGCCATTCGGTTATTGGTGTGAGCTGCTGCTGTGTGTTAGGCTTTCATATCTTAACCAGAATGCCTTTTTCAGATAATTAACTATACAAAATGATAATTTTTTTGCCTGCATTCAGTATAATAAATAATGACTCATAAGTATTGTTATAATATAGTGTGATTCTAGTATCGTAAAGGTGCTGTATTTGAGATGTTAGCTTTTACTCATTGCGACATTGCCCATTTGTATATTTCTGTCATTGTTTTTTAGGGCCGTATCACATCTGAAAACCTTTCACTTTTTCATTCTCTCTCCATCTTTCTCTCACTGTGTCCAGCTCAGTTGAAAGCTTTGGTATGTGAGGCAGTGTCGAGGGGTCTGACATTTGTATATGCTCTTTCTCCGGGTCAGGACATCGTCTTCTCCAGCTCTTGGGACCTCACACTGCTTAAACGCAAACTCAGACAGGTAAGCAAACTCACTTCATCTTGATCTCATTTTTATCTTGCTTTCTTGTGATCAAAGCACATTTGCACAACCGTTGTACTGTTTGACGAGAATGTGTTCATGAACACCTTATTTTCTTTAATTTCACCACTAGGTGTCAGACCTGGGCTGTCAGGCTTTTGCCCTCCTATTCGATGACATTGATCACTCCATGTGCCAGTCAGATACAGAGGCCTTTTCCTCATTCGCTCATGCCCAGGTCACTGTGGCCAATGAGATCTTCCATTTCCTGGGGGAACCACCTGTCTTCCTATTCTGTCCCACTGGTAAACTAATGCATAAATATATCAAGCCTAGTTCATTACAGAATAAAATTCTGTTTAATGGAGTGACACATTTACTTAATGATACCTTAAAGGAATACTTCAAAAATTAAAATTGGCTAAAAATGTATTCACTCTTAGGCTGTCCAATGTGTACATGAGTTTGTTTCGACATCAAAACAGATTTGGAGAAATGTAGCATTACATCACTTACTCATCAATGGATCCTCTGCAGTGAATGGGTGCCATCAGAATGAGAGCCCAAACAGCTGATAAAAATATCACAGTAATCCACAAGTAATTCACATGTCTCCAGTCCATCAATTAACATCTGTGTGTAAGAAACAAATCCATCATTGAGGTATCTAACTTTAAACTACAGCTTCTGGCCAAAATATCCATAATCCATAAATCCATAATCTATACTAATTCCTCCTCCAGTGAAAAAGTCCATCCCCTTTTTTCCTCTCACATCAAAATTCACCAGCATATTTGTTTACAACTCTTTTGTACTGTTTTTGCTTATGAGCAGTGCTTGATCTGTATATATTTCTCTCCTGATTCAGACTTGAGGAAGCAACGATTTGAAGTAAAAAATGCCTTAATGATGGATTTGTTTATTACAAACATGCAGCTTTTACTTTACAAGATGTTATTTGATGGACTGGAGTCATGTGGATTACCTGTGGATTATTGTGACGCTTTTATCAGCTGTTTGGACTCTCATTCTCACGGCACCCATTCACTGCAGAGGATCCATTGGTGAGCAAGTGATGTAATGCTAAATTTCTCCAAATCCGTTTCAATAAAAAAACAAAAACAAACTCATCTACTTCTTGGATGACCTGAGGGTGAGTAAATTTAAAATTTTGGGTGAACTATTACTTTAAGTAAACATGATGATCCAATTTAAAACAGATTCAAAGCAAATTATAAAAACCAATGAAAAATAAACATTGTAGGCAAATATCTGGCATTTTACCTGCTCATAGAGAGCCAGCTCTTCCTCAAGTTGTTGCGTTTCCTCTTTTACAGTCATCAGACAATCTAGCTCAGACTGACGTGGGTGCAACTCACGATCAAAACGATTATACAGTCTTCTCCAGTATCTAAACACAGAAAAGACAAACATTTTTTGCAGTTAAACAAACATAAACACCATATATCAGTTACTCTGTAATAGCTGTATTGACGTATTATAGGTGGATACTTAGGACTAAAGAGACAAATTATGCACGAGAAAGAGAATCAAACTATCCGCTTATTTTTTATAGAGGAGAAGAAAAAACTATTTTACATGTTTTGACATACTTAAAACAGTAGGGGGCAGTACTGGGCCTTAGAAGTCCCTGATTCTGGCTCTGATCAGGTTTGAACAGAGGGTTCATGAAATCCAGCTTCTTCTCCCATAAATGAAGCCACATGGAATGAGTTTTCTCTTTGATACTACAGAAAAAAACACATGCAATAAAACATGTTCAACAGATGCAGAGAATACTGACATCCGCAGTACCATCAATTTTAACAACAAATTAAGTTTTGTCATTCATGTCATCAAATAAACAGGACAATTACCACAGATCCTTCCTCTCCTTCTGGCTGTTACAAATGAAGTTGCCATAATGACAGGAGTAGATGTGGTTGTGGATGCTGATCAGAAACTTCTCATTGTACTCAAAAGCACAGGGAAACTGTTCCATAAGCTGCCATA